GCTTTATTACCCTTATATGATGATTTTTTTCTGAGTCTAAAACAGGCTATGGGTTCTGTTCATCCATATTTTCACTATAATATAGAGGAAAAGGGAATACAAAAGCAAACACTGGCTCCACAAGAGTTTTGAGATTTGGGAGCTGGTTGGAAATGGAAAGCAAACAGTGAAAACGAGATGGATTACCAGGGTGCAAAAGGTTAACATGTACAGCTGTTAACTGGAAGGTTGGTGGTTGGAGTCTACCCAGAGGCTCCTCAGAAGAAGGGCCTGGTGATCTACTTCTAAAAAATCAGCCATTGAAATCACTATGGAACAGAGTTCTATTCTGACACACATGGGGTTGCCATGAGTTGGAATTGACAGCAACTGGTGGTTCCTGTCTCAATTAAAACCTGGAACTAACTTAATGCTCAAAGTGTGTTGAGTTGGTGGTAGTGACTGTAGTGATGCTGGTGCCTGATGGGAGTGGTGGTGGTTCAGTGAAGAACCAATGTGGACATAACACCTCCGAGGTTACATATTGACATGGCAGAGGGAAGCCCCCCCAAAAGTTATTTTAAGTTACTGTGAACTGACCATGTATACTTCTACTCTAGCATTTTCATCAGACTGTACCTTCAGACTACATAAACTATAAAAGAAGCTTGAAAACAGGTGAAATTCTGGAAAGCTATTCTTAAGCCCATATGTTTGTTCACAAATTCAAAGGGATACTATGTAGATAACAGTAATTATCTTCTGTTACACTGGGGCCCAGTGGATGCACTTTTGCTCAAGTACATAGCTTTGTTATTATCTTTGAAAGTAAAGAAACTTCTATGTGCAACTATTAGATAAAATATTACAAAGAATAAAATGAATTTAAGAATATATTCTCTTTTAGAAAAACAAAAATATTTTCAAGTTAATTTTCTCCTAAGAATATATTCTAGCCCCCAACAAGTTTTTCCTTATTTCTTATGAGAAATAGCATTTTTGGTAGAATGTAGTCAGTTATGTAACTGTGTTGTTGTTAGGTACTGTCGTCAAGTCGATTCTGACTCACAGTGACCATATGTGTACAGCAGAACAAAACACTGCCTGGTCCTGTGCCATCCTCACAATGGTTGTTATGCTGGAGCCCATTGTTGCAGCCACTGTTGTCAGTCCATCTCGTTGAGGGTCTTCCTCTTCTTCACTGACCCTCTACTTTACCAACAATGATGTCCTTCTCCAGGGACTGGTCCCTCCTGAAAACATGTCCAAAGTATGTGAGACAAAGTCTCGCCATCCTTGCGTCTAAGGAGCACTCTGGCTATACTTCTTCCAAGACAGATTTGTTCATTCTGTTAGAAGTCTATGCTGTATTCAGTATTCTTCACCAGCACCATAATTCAAAGGCATCAATTCTTCTTCAGTCTTCCTTA